AACTACAGCATTATATGACCAATGCTGAGACAACAAAAGGAATTTTACCCTAAATCCATTGCTCACTTTGCTCAGTCTCTGTAATATGTAACATGAGCTAAAAGCTATCCAAGCTCATAATGGTATGTCAAGGGCTGAACAGAATGGGAATAGAGAGGATCATCTCATTGTCAGAAAATTACCCAGTCAACGCAATTACTCACTAGTACTGAATTTACAGGTTAGCCCAGAAAAGTTGTCACTGAATTTGCTTTAACAGATGAGGTCTGTAAATCATCTCTGTGGTCAGCCTTGTTAAGAAAACTGTACTTGCTACAGAAGTCTACGTAAAATAAAGAACTTTGAATGTTTTAATAATATAAAGTAGTAATAAAATATGGAGTCAAAAATGCATGTTTTGAGTTGTAATAGTCAATTGGCCTACACTTTAAAGCTACTGATGTATAATTTCTCATTTATAGATGCCATCACTAATATATTCTTTGAAAGTGAGCAAAGGATTTGTTTATTTTTATACATTTGAGACAATAAAAATGCTGAAAAATATTAAAACTAAATTATTTCCTCAAATTAATTTTGCAATGTGTATTTAGAGGCAGGAGAAGTGTTCAGAGATTGACAACACGCTTCACCCTATACAGGGAGAGGTAATTATCCCTTGTCGATTAGACACTAAATCACTGAGTTACAAGCAGCTGGTGATGCATAACCATCATTATCATTTCAGACTGTTGCACCATTTCTCCCAGTTTTATTTGCCAGTTTTAAAGGCAAGATAAGATATTTTTATGGCAGAAAATTTAGTGAACATGTGGAAATAAAAAGAAAAAAAATAGAAGAAAGGGTACTATAATTTTAAACTGGGATGATGGTTATATACCACCAGATGTTTATAGTTCAGTGACTGAGAATCTAATTGACAAGGAATAATTACTGCCTCTCTAAACAGGGTGAGGAGTGTTTTTACTGTGGTATGTCTGGAGAACAGCCATATGAGGAAGGACCCAAATGTCTGACAGAAATAATTTTGTCTTTTCCTTCTGTTTAATGGCTTTAACATTTGAGGCTAAGTTCTGTTCTGAATTGTATCCATATATCTTCACTGATGTCAGTGAGTTTGCCTTTGCGTAATGGAATTTGGAAAAGCAAACTAACTTTGAATGCATAATTGGAGTGAAATGCTACACTCGTGCTTGTATCGTGGTCTAGCATCCTGCATCCTACCAAATACAGATCTTATTCTATAATGATGGTTAAACCAGAGGAGTTCCACACAACTCAATACAAAGACTTAAAGATTTAATTACATGTTATACGTTTTATGGCGTCATGAGATGCAAAATCTTTTTCCTTTTTTGTACTGGAGGAGAGTGCCTGGCTGACATTTGACAACAAACCTTTCAAGAAAGTAAAAATGCTGTGGGAGGAAAGTACCACTGAATCATCTGACAGCGCGGTTTGAATAGACACTACACTAAGGTCCAGAGAACATTTAAGTATTCAACTAGACATGTCATTTGGAATGACATGAATACTGAAGTGAAAAAAATCCTATCACACTAAGGAAAAATACTTTGGGATACTTACAGAGAAATGGCATGTTTCATACAGGCCACAAACCATTCCTGTCAGAGTGACAGAACTATATTTCGTACTATCTATCTTTGATGTCTATCATCTACCTTTCTTTGATAAATTTTACAGTGGGAGAGAGGTCCAAACATATTGGGTTCCTACAAATTTCCTAAAGTATGTGGCCAGGTGAAGGAGAGAGTCCTGTACGTGATATTTACACAGTTTGCCAGAAGAGGTTTCTACTGTCTGACAGATTTCAACTGAAGGGCATGACTGTATGATAGTGGGCTTAATTTCAATTTTGCTTAATTTCAAATTGTTATTTCCAATTATTTAATCCTTTAGCCAGCTAATAATCTCCTTATTGCTTGATGTATGCAACAATCAAGTAGGTGGGGACATTATAATATGCTGATGTTCTTTCATTTATAATTTCATCAAAATTTACTAGTCAGCCCTTAATCCTTATTTTGCAACCTTTTTCTTCATATCTGATTCACCAAAGTTACCCTTCAGTTTTTCTTGGCCTTGAGTTTTTCCTCCCATACCTTTTTGTTGCAGTCACAACTGTGCCATGTAAAATGATATTCGTGGTTTTTAATATTTAGTTTGTGTAGCCTTTTACTTCTCCACATAATACTGGAAACTTAGATCAATTTACCAGCAATTAACTACATAACCTTTTTGACATCACTACCTTTCAGTTATTTGCTTCCCATTGATTAAGCGCCCCAGATTGTTTTTGTTTTTGCTTTTTTTCTCTCCCTGATATATCACGTCTCCAGCAAACAGATTCTCATCAAGTTCAAATATACGATCCTACCTTCAAAATCAGAATGCAGAATAGCTAAATATGCTTGAAACTGAAAAAAAAAACCCTGCAATGGGCAGCTAACATAACAAGAGTTTTCTATAGTAAAGGCAAACCTTTTCAAGGAAAAGTGCTTCCTTGAAGGTCAAGGGAGATAGGAGAATTAATTCCTTCAGGAAATAAAAATCATTAGAAAACACACCATTTTCAGCTCCAAGTGTAATATACATACCTTTGAGCTTGCTTTCATTGATATACACAGCACCATGTATGCACTGTACATATATATACAACCATATCTATAAAAAAGGAAAAATAAATCCCTACTATAAAATCAATCCATTGCACAAACTCCTCTTTCTGAGGAAAGCATAAGAGAACAACTAACACGTACCAGGTGTTAGTAATCATGTAATTTTATTAACTTCTAGAAAGCATTCAGAGTGCAGTATAAGAACCTAATTAGAATAGTATTCTTTATAATTATCATAATTATCTTGCAATTTCCAAGCAGCACGTCATTGATTTTAAACAAGAGAGATCAGTGACATTATGGTCACTTACTCAGATTCTCTAACGAAGGAGCAATTGCTTATCTCATCATAATTTCACTACTAAAGGACTATTAAGAAGAACAACTATCTGTTGGAAAGTAACAAAGAGAAGCCGTTGATTCTCTTAGTTATCTAAACAGCCATATTCTCAGTTAGAAAACTATTTAAAAGTTTTCAGGTAAGAGCTAGATCCAGGAGGTCCTTCATATAGCAGATGAGGGATGAGTGCAACTCTGGGGTGAATTCAGAGTCACATTCCACAGACTACTGGGCTTATAAATTGTAAAGAATAAATCAGGTCATCTATATTTCAACATAGCCTAACCTTGAAGATCCAAAATTCAATCAAGAAATGTACAATGGACTATAAAATTCTTTAAATTCACTCACTGAGTAGACCCCTTTTGAGCACCTACACATATTTTCTACCTAAGATACCCCCAGGCCTGATTTTTGAGTGTATTTAGAAGACATCTGATGCAAACAGAAAGCACTGTGGTCAACACAAACTGCTGAACTAATATGTACTTCAAAGCTGAAGAAGATCCTGTCTTTTGCATTACATCTGGTCAGTCAAGAAGCAGAAACGAATGTGGTTCAAGTCTATTTTCAAAGTGCAGCAATTCAAATACAATTCCTCTACTTCACAGAAGAGTGTTCTAAGCACTTGTTTACTAACTAAAAGGTGACCATTGGTCCTTCTAATATCTGTCTTCAAATACTGAGCCCTTCTCTGCAGGACATTTCAGAGTTTCATATTTGCTATATCTCAAATGACTGGAAAAATCGGACATTTAGTTCTCATCCAGGAAAGCTGAGCTCAGAGACAGGCAAGAGTTCATATACATTTCTATGTGCTTAGTGTTTTCATTCATCTAACCCTACTTCCTACAAAGGACTTTGTAAAAACATCATAAACAAATATAGCCTTTTGTCATCTTTCAGAAAAGCTTTTGCAAATAATGGCCTAAATCTATCATTGCTAAGTTTTACCACTGCTATTACAATATTTTGCCATTTAATTATTCAGAATTTTTTGTTTTATTTTGTTTTATTTTTAATAAAATGAGGCTACAATAACAGGAAAGACAGTGCAGTTACGTATAAACATGATTTCTAAGCCACTTTTTGCAGAAGGACTCAATAACACTGAAACTGGAAAAAAATCTACTTCCATCTTCATAAAACATTTCATTCTTCTTAGATAAAGCATGACTTAATCTTATTCTGCATTTTTGGATTACTCATTATCATCTATAATTTCAAAATATTGATTTTCCATCCAGAATACATTTATTTATACAGAATAGGAAAGTTTTCTGGTTCTCTCTTGCTTTCCAGCTGATATCAATGTGAGGTCATGCATTGATATAGGATGTTAGCTGTCATATTCCTACTTTGCTAACCTAAAGAAGAATCTAGTTGGTGGTTATGCTGACCCAGTTACAAGATGTTGATGTTTCTTCAAGACATTTTTTGCGTTATGCTTTGGGGAAATCATTCTTTTTATTTTTGGACAGCGTATGGTTCACTGCAAAATGTCTACATGAAATCAAAGGATTTATTAAAATGAAGGGGACCTACTGAGATAAATTTATTGAATATACTTTTTTCAAAAGACAACCCTGAGGTTTTTGTCATCATTTCCCATTTGCATTATAAAAAACATCAAGCATGCAGCATTATAAATAAAACTTTTAAAAGGTAATCAGATGGATATTTCAGAAATCTTCATTTCACTTTCTATTCAGAAAGTATAATAAATGTGCATCGGGAAGGATCACTGAAGCTGAAGAAAATAAAAGGGAGAAGAAAATAAAATAAACATAATAATTTATTTTCCCCCTAAACCAGAGTGAATTTCACAAAAAGATGTACTCTGATTCACACTTCCTTGAATGCAAAGAGCAGAACCCCCGAACCCTGGTTGGAGAACACAGAAAGGTATCAGACTGTCTAACCTACTGTGCTGCGCACAAGAAAAACATCAGACCGAAAAGATGCAAAGCTGGTTGCCATTGCTGCCTCTCTACACTCCGTCTAAACAGGAAATTACTTACTTTTCACGTTGCAATCCCCACACCCCAGACAGTTTCACTGTGCAGTGGTGGTGGTCAAAGATTTTAAGAGGTGGGAGTGAGTTATATGAAGTAGAGTAGCAGGATCAACAGGTCTATCCTAGCAGAAAAACAGAAATCATCTCAAATTAGACCATATAATAAAACACCATATACTTTGATCACTGTATATTTATCAATGAAATTAGAGATGGAAAAGGATCGTGCTGTCTACCATAGTTTATTCCATCCCAAGTATGCAACAAAGAAAGTGATATTATAGCACGAACAATAAAGCTGGCTTCAGTTGTCATTATTATGCATTTCCTATGCAGTTTTATAGAGAGTTATGTCCCTGAAGCTGATGACATGAGGGGAAGAATATTGCCAAAGGTTTGATAGGAATTCTTGGTAGCTTAGACAAATGATAAGATGATAAGAAATCTTTCACATCTGCATCATATCAGTCCCAAAAATCAAAGTCATGGGGAGGCATTCTTTAGCACCCAGGACAACTTCTTTCTTTATCCCCTCTCCTCATGAGCTGGGGAAAGGCAGGGACTTACTGGGGGACATAGCTTCCTCCTATACCCCCTTGCCAGATCTTTTATGTGTAGTCTGGTCTGGGTGCACATCAGGGAAAAATTCTATTAGTTGCAATATCAGAGCTTCTTAGCCTCCCAGAGGATCCATGAGTATCATCTTTGCTTGAATTTACCATCCCTCAACATCCCACTGTTTCTGAATGAAAATTATTTCCCAGCAGAATATAGTTCATTAAAGGATTTGATAGTTTTAAATAAATTCTGTGTGGAATCTGGGGAACATTTTTAGAACAGTCATGGTGATAATATGTGCTTTATATAACTGTGGATTTTCTGAAATTCTATTAAAGCTGTTCAGTAATTCTGAATTTGCCTAAAACTGCAAATCTGCATATACCAAGCTCTTCTCCAGTGTTGACAAGGCTGGGTTGGCTGGCAGCTACTTCACGCCTGAGCTGACCTGAATTCAGAAACATGATACTTTCCTGCAAATTCCCTGAAGAGGCTAGGTAGTAGCAGTTTAATATTTGCAGAACTGCCCTTTGCACAAAAGCAAAGGGTTGGGCACTGCCATTGTTCTTTGAAAATACAGACCAAAGAAGAGAATATAGCAGTGATGCTGTTCACAGAATCACAGAATAACTGGGGTTGAAAGGGACCTCTGAAGATCATCTAGTCCAACCCCCACCATAACCTCTCTGGGCAACCTCTTCCAGGGTTTGACTACCCTCATAGTAAAAAAAGTGTTTTCTCATGTTTAAATGTAATTTCCTGAATTTCAGTTTCTACCCGTTGCCTCTTGTCCTTTCACTGGGCACCACTGAGAAGAGTCTGGTTCCATCTTCTTTACCCCCTTATCAGGTATTTTATACACACGGATAAGATCTCTGCTAAGCTTTCTTAAGCTTCTCTCCCAGCTTGCTCATCACCTCTCATGTCAGGTGCTCCAGTCCTTCAGTTATCTTTGTGACCTTTTGCCGGACTTCCTTTGGTATGTCCATGTTTCTCTTGTGCTGGGGAACTGAGAACTGGACACATCACTCCAGATGTTGTCTTGCTAGTGCAGAGTAGAGGGGGAGGATCACGTCCCTCAGCCTGCTGAGAGCTCTCTTCCTTATGCAAGAAGCTGCTCTGTTCTCTCTAAACAAGACCATCAGCTTTCACCATGCACTTACACTACTTATCTAAGCATATAGGTAGCGTGAGTGGTGCTTGTTTATCTTTCATCCAGGACTTAATGATCATGTAAAGATAAGTTCCAGAGTTCTGCTGCCTATTACCTTTTGATAGGAAGGGATTTCTTAATTTTATAACTTTTCAGGAACTGTAATGGATATCTTTCAGGAAAACTTCATAAAATGTTTTATCCAGTCATCTACGTCACTTGTTAGTGAGCCTATCCTTTTAGCTAAGAAAGGTTGCGTTACCTCTCTACATAGATTAGTATATATTTAGTAAAATAATTGTAAGAAAATGGTATCTTTTGCTGGAAGGAAGGCACCAAAACCATATAACAGCAGTGGCTTCACCAAAATAACATATATAAGGAGGATGAATAATAAAAAAATTGTGTGTTCGCACAGTCAGTTTGAATAATTGCTAATTTTCTCCTGGTTTTATATTTTCAAAACACTTTCAGCTTTTCATAAATAGCTTCTCTAGGTGCAATGTAGATCCGTTGCCATGTACGTAGGTATAGCTCTGTTTGTTCAAAGTGCCAAATCACTTGCAATCTTTGCGGGTGGACCTAGAGAGGCTGAGCATATTGAGCTCAAATGCAAAACTATAGAAGTGAGAACTTGATCTGTCACCAGTCAAACTTCTGGCATGTAGATCTACCCTCAGATCCTGCACAAACAGTTACAGTAGGTTCTATGATGTATACAGTCGTGCCAAAAAACACTATGAAAGAACATTTGGAATTCTTCTACTCTCAGTATCCTGAATCAACCAACTTTAGTCCTCAATCTCTACTTCACTGAATCTTCTCATATCTGAGGACAATGTAGCCTTTCAGATCATGAATGATCAGATCCATGGACCAATGTTTTTCACCTTAGAAAGATCTTTCAGGAAAAGGAACTGATCAATTCATAGCTCACTATTCAGTGTAGCCATAAGAAAGATCCATAATTTGTGTCCTATTTCAAAGTGATTTTTCTTTAAAGGCAAGGCTGCCAAATTCCTCTATGCATCACCCTCAAGGCAGTGAAAAATCGAGAAAGAATGTCTGAGGCTTGATAGTAAGAGTAGCATTCACTTTATTTTATCTTAGCTATTTCAAATCTTGATGGGTAGGTTTTTAGTCAGCACCTCAACAGTCAGAAGAGAGAAAGAGGCACATCTCTAGGAAGCTAGCCATTAACTTAGACGCTGAGCAATGGATGGTTTCAAGAGGGAATCCCTGTTGGATTTGATTATATTTTATTGTCTGCAGAAAAACAACCTTAGATTCACAACTTCTAGATGGCTACCATTATTAGTTGTGAATCCCATTCTCAATGTCTATGCAGCAGAGTCACTCTAGCTTTGGCCTTACTTTCAGCCT